CTGTTTAAAACGACCACTCATTTATCTTTATCCTGTCATAAGATCATTTCTCTCGTAAGTCGAGACCTGTTTAAAACGACCCATCTTTCTCTAAGGCGACCAACACTTCGGAAATACGAGCCTTGATAACCATGATAACACCTTGTATGTGAAGACTCTTTTCAGCGATTACATTCCTGAATGCGACCAGAATGAGAGAAAAAGGGAGAGAAGCATATTAGAATGATGACGCACGACAAGAAAATAAAAATAGCTATAGAGAAAACGTTTCCTTCTTCTAAGATCTTGTAAATAAAAGCCAGAGTTCACAATACAGCTGCAAAGTGTCCCAGATACCGGTCGCCACATCAAGTATCTTAAGCTTCCAGATCAAGTACAAATACATCACTATCAGGTATTGTCAGTGATAAAATAGGTCAACTGAGCGCTATCGATATCCAAATCACTATACTTATGCATAGTTTTACTCCGACGAAGGACTAGCGTCCGAAACGTCAGTAAGTTTTTTCATCTTTTCACGGTGTATAATTTACCATTTCATCATTACTGTTTCATTAGAAACACCGACGCAGCTCACACTAGTTTTTAGCTAGTTATATCTTCATAGTTTTACATTGTTTATTCCACAATAAGAAGTATTAATTTAGTTTTATCACTAATATTAGCTGCATATCATATCAATACGTGTCAATATTATTAGTCCTWATACCAAGATCATTTGTTTCTTCGCGATAATTAGCTACTTATCCGCATGAGAGGCTTAGTTCTTTAATCGTTAAGGTTGGTAATTGAAACCCTTGAAGGAATTAGCCAGATATGCCAAGGTGAGCTTGAAGATTGCCAAAAAGAAAATGCTAGAAAGGCTCAAGACGTCATAGATAAATGTCATGATAATCTTTGATGATGTATAGTTTATTACCCGACATCATTTTAGCATATTTCTCATTATTACTCAACTATTTTTCCTCGTAGAAATGTGAAGATGTAGGCTTTCTTCCGCGCGGGGATCAAAACCTTATATGTAAATTTTGATGTATTGGAGAAATTCACATTCACGAGCAAAGTTCACGAGCAACGTTCACGAGTAAAACTTTCTGTAATAGTCGAGTTGTCGTGCGGCTACAGGAATGGAATTTTCAACTGTCAATTCCAATGCCTTTCCACTAGTACGGACAAATCGAAATGCAGAAATGAGCGTGCATTTTGTCCAATGAGAACAAGATATTACATGATACGTGTATTCTTGACCATTCGCATCAAATCTCTTCGTAAAGTTTCAAGTAAAGTCGTAGCAAGTACCACATTCTAAAATCAATATTTATTTGAATCTTTTCTCTCCCTTCTTTCTATTCTTTTCTTTGGTCTATAGCCTTGCATCCATCCTACTGCTTCAGTTTACCTTTCTTTWGGATTTTTGCTACAAAATAAGATGAGAAGATTAGTATATAATAAATTTTTTCCCCCAATTTTTGTTTGAACAACGATTAATTCAACTTCTTCACATTATTTTATTTTGTCCTCCAGGAAAATAACTATCGTGTAGCATCATTCACAAGTCATATATCATCATGTAACTCAAACGCCTTGTAATAAGTTTTGTGAGATAGGCAATTAGGCAATTCGAGATGTGTTTTCGTACATCGTGTTGAACGTATTGAAACAGGCSTGTGCGTGACTTTAATCTTTGTGAGATGTATTTTTAACAATTTTTTTCGTAATGATGTTCTACTTTTGTTTGGTTGTCCCTTTTAAACTAATGCGGTCTCTCTTTTCCTTTTTGTCATAGGATCACAACATCAAAAAACGATCATCATTTTTTCTTTGGCAAGATACTTGTCCTCCACCAGATTTTCTGTCAGTAGTTGACGTCAAGTGCAAAGACATGTGCCATTCTAACGATGATTGTTTGGGTAGCTTACTCTGCTGCTATAACGGGTGTAAGATGTGTATGGAGCCTGTGTTACCTCCTCCAGGTGAGTAGTATCCATCCATCCATCCATCCATCCATCCATCCATCTATCCATCCATCCATCCATCCATCCACTGTCTGTTACTGTGATCTCCCATTGCCTTACCTGCTTAGCCATTATACGTGAAAGCTTTCTGTTTTCTATTKGCATACAGTGATCGACTGGCTGGGTTCACCCTCGACATATCATCGTGGTTTTGCTGCTGGAGGCGTTCCCGAGAGCAACAACATCGACGTGGATCTGAAAAAACCGCACTACGAAGAAATAGGTTAGTATCGTCAAGTCTGCTTCAGATATTCCACGTCACATTTTACACGTGCCGTGATGCCATTTTGAGGATTCTTATTGGCTGAGCATTGATCACGCGCGCGCAGCCATGTGATCACGTGCGCAGATCTTTGGTCCTTGCGCATGTGAAATCGTTCAATAAACCTATATTTAACGTCGGTAGTTCCTTCAGGTTAARAACTTAACTGCTATCAATGAAAGCCGGCGCTGCGCACTTTAACTCTTCTTTCCATCAGCCAATTCTTTATTTTAAGAGTACTTTATAAAATAATTGGGATACTACGCGCGCTAGGATTGGTCGAAAACCATGTTTGATGAGAGTATCAAAACACGCTATCGTCATTTTTAATCTATCGCGCGCGCTCATTGGTCAGTTTGAATAAGACGGCACGTACGGAGAATTTACTTAGACTTTGCTTTTTTTCGATCTTTTCGCGCGTTTGTTATTTTATAAAACAAATCAAAAACAGTTTTCTGTGTTTGATACTCTGATCAAAACACKYGGGATGTTGGGATAACACTCGAGAAGCTGGAAACCACTCCGCTACGCGTCGTGGTTTCCTACGCTCCTCTCGTGTTCTCCCAACATCCCGCGTGTTTTGATCAGAGTATCAAACACGGAAAACTTTTTTTGATCTGTTAAATCAAAAGCTGTAGCTAAACAAGGAGAAGAGGAAAGTCGTGGAGATCCAGAGGATCGAACCATGGACGTCTACTTATGAAGGCCACGCACAAACCAACTGAGCTACACCGCCTCCTATAATCTGAATCATTGATTGATTTTTCAGAATGTGCGTACAAAGGCAAGACATATGCGAGAGGAGAATCATTCTTTAAAGGCTGTCATAAATGGTAAGTAAGCATTTCTATAGAGTAGCTCTTCTGCTATCGAATCAAATTGGAAATTTTGTGGAGCGGAGGGAGTAAGCGAGGAGAACCCGATGAAAAATCTTCAATGCACTCAAATACTGCGGCATACGCCAGCGTCAAGGGTTCATAAACACGTAACTAATGATTTTTTTATTTTTCTATCGTAGCCAATGCAGAGATGAGGGAATCAGCTGTGAAGTGGGACCGTGTAAGATCGGTAAGAAGTAATACTCACTTCTAAAATGAGAGCCACTGAATGCTTTTGATGTTATAATGGTTTGCGTTTAAAATTGGACACGATAGAGGCGACGAAATCTAAAACAGAGCTCTTTTTTGTGCGTAATGTTTTCCCATTTCAAACCATGTGTCATTCTCTTGAGAATAAGATTCTTTGTTAGAGTTGTATCCATATTCATGCGTCTTCTCATGCACACCCGTTAAACAAAGAAATGATACTCTTGGGAATGACACGAGGACTGAAATGGGAAAACATTACGCCCAAGATAAAAAGGTCTATTGCGTCCAGGTTTTGCGCGAGAAAAATTACAAATTTGGCAAAGATGCGTGATCGTGTGATCTGAATCTTAAGAAAGTTCTGTCTAAGAATCCTTAAAATCCTGAAAAACTTTGTGAGAAATAAGAAAAAAATTTCACAAATTAGTAAGTTCAGTAGACCTCAGTAGACCGTAGACCTACAAAGCTTTGCACTAATTCGTACTATTTTGYTATTTAACTTTTTCACGGATATATGCAGTATGCACTCTATTGATCGTGAATCCCAAACTCACTTTGTGTTACAACTTTTTTAGACATCAACCCAAACCAAGGAGAGCATTCCGGTGAGGCATCCAGTGTAGATGTGTCGAGCCTTAATCAAGTTGAAGCACTAGAACTCTCAGGTGAAGATGAAAACCATCTTCAAGAATACCCAACTAAAACTAAAATAGCAAAGCTTGAGTATTTAAAGCTGCACAGAGAAGAAAGCGAAGGACAAGCTAATGTGAGGGTCATACCCAGGAAACTCAACCCGGAAAGGACGAGTGGGAATGGAGAAGGGTATGGAYACAGTGGTGAAGAGGATACTGGTGAAGGTAGTGAGACTGAATTTGTAAATTCAAAGGAAGAATTGGAATTGAGTGGAGATGAGGAAAACAGTATTGGAATTACACGGCTAACGACGTCAACAGAAGCTACAGAGCACAGTGGAAATGAAAATCTTGAAAAGGAAAAAGCTAGCAGGATACCAAAGTTGAAGAGAATTTTGAGAAGGCAGCCCAATATGGAGGAAGTGTACGAAAATGTAATTTGTATTTAAAGTTGAACAACAAATGTCAGCAGTGCTTTGGATATTTGTAAGAAACGAACGAAAACGCATGCGTGGAGTTAGTGTAAATCGGCTGAAGTTGCATGTGATGAGAGCAAAAAGAAAATGGATTTCTACAAACCGTTCAGTAAAAGCCATGGTCTTGATGTCGATAATGCTTAGAGATAAGACTTTTTTTTTTACTTGCGAGAGGAGTTTGAGTACGACATTCAAAGAAACATCAAAGGTGCACTTGTTGTACACTTTGTAAGCTCTACTGGGATTGGTTTTTTGGTGCTTTCGTCTTGTAACCACGTAAGAAGAAGGAGAGTAAGAGGAGGAGGAGGAAGGGAAAGAAGGAGAAGAAGAAGAAGAAGAAGGAGAAATAAAATAGAAAAATTACGACAACAACAACATCACCAACGAGATTACATTTCTCTGACTCATACATTTTTGCCGTCAAAAAATCTCCTAGAAAGCTGAAAWTTTAAAACTGTGTACGTCCAAATATACGATAATCGAATAGTGCTTATCTAGAGCTACAATACGTGCTGTAGCACTAAGCTATGTATAGATATATACTGTGAATATATCAGAAAAATCTCATTCTGCGCGCGGGAATTATATTAATGATAGGACACTATCCCACATGGTAAAGTGCGCGTACTGTAAAGACATTGAGCTTTGTAGCATGTGCAAGGCAATTACCAGATAARTATAAAAAATTGGTTGTTTTGGCGTTCTGTAAGCCCTGCGACTAATTGGTCCAAAGCGTAGCGCATTGTGGTTTAGCTTGGGTACAAACACCTTCCCATTGTGCTGTTGTTAGCGCCCAAGATATACCACAATGTATCTTGTCTTATGGGGAAACAAGATGACATTGTATTTAGATTCATTATTCTACATATCATGATCATATAGGTGTTCATCATATAGGTATGATCACCTGACGGCGGCCATGTTGAATGGCAGAACGATAGAATCCCATAGTCTGGGGAATCGTCGGGTTTCTCTTGATGTCATATCCTGTCTCGTGCGGAATGTTCATCAATTGAATCACAAGTTTTCACATAGAATTCTTTCTGGCTGACAGCACATGGTGGTCAGTGTTTGAGCACCATTTGGAGCAGATAATGAGATTCGAAGACTTTTATCAGTTGAGTGAAATCAAACAATCCAATACTCCAGTTTCGAGTTCTCTATTGCTCATAGTTAGACTTCATTTTGTGTAGAATATCCATGCGTTCCAGCGAAGGTCCATGGAATTTCAAAAAGTTTGAATATATTATTGGATCCGTATTATTGAARTTGTGCATTCTTTACCAAATCGTTGGAATTTGTGAATATTTAGATACTGATTCGAGGCTGACCCTGGTAGTGAGTAAATAAGTCTGTAATCAAGGAACACAGCGGTAATTTGGAACTCGAAACTGGTCTATTCTTTCACACGTAAAACCATCGTAAAGTTCCTGTCATCCAACATGGCTGCCGTCACACTGCCATGGAGAACCTACGCCTATATACATTGCTTGTACATATTATAACTGTAGAAAGAAGTGTTAGTTTATTGGCCAGTAAGGCCTAATGCTTTTGAATAACGGTGCTATAGCACAAGAGTAGCTCGTGTCGAGCCRCAAACATTGCCAAGTCAGCATGTTTATCAATAGATTATGACGTAAGTACGAATATGATGTCATATTTTGCATGACGTAATGGGATGTGATATTTATGAACGAATTGGGAGTCTAATTTGAAAGTAAGCGTAAAAATTGCTGAATAAAAAATGTAGCAAGGTATTCAAAAACATATGGGAATATATATATCTGGAATCAGCTGAAAAAAGTGCGAGCAGATTTTGTTTACTCTCCTTTGTTTCAAGGTTTTAACTTATTTAAAACGAACTAAAATTCCGATTTGATCATTGCTACCTTTTCCCTGATTTAGATCAGCTTAGATCAGTCTAGAGGTTGTTTCATAGCCTGTGTACAGCCGCTTCCCACCCCTCCCCCCTTCGAGGAAAAAACGGGGGGGAGGGGTGGGAAGGGGCTGTACACAGGCTATTGTTTCAGGGTTCAATCTGGGCGTTATCTGTTCCCTGACTTAGATCAGCCCCGAGGTTGTTTCACTCATTTTCAGGGTTCAATCTGTGCGTTATCCGTTCCCTGACTTAGATCAGCCCAGAGGTTGTTTCAGGGTTTAATCTGTGAGTTAGCCATGCCCTGACTTAGATCAGCCCAGAGGTTGTTTCAGGGTTCAGTCTGTGAGTTAGCCCACGTGCCCTGACTTAGATCAGCCCAGAGGTTGTTTCAGGGTTTCAATCTGTGAGTTAGCCGTGCCCTGACTTATATTTCACACATTCATGCTTAGGCCAGCGCAAAGAGGTTGTTTCATACAGAGTTTGCGCGATAAAATCTGAAGATTTTTCGAAGGTTTTAAGGACACCAYGCACATTATTGTCTTCGATTTCACCTTTATTAGACACTCTTTAACATAAAAATTAACAATTCTCATAAAACCATCGCTAAAATAAATACYAAAGCCCTAAAATAAAAAGAGATAGAACACAATACTCCTAAATTATAATAAAAACTACAAAAAAAACGAGCAAAATCATGAACGTATGGATTGAAATATATTAAGAGTATATGAGTAGAACAAAGATCAAATCCTAAATCACTCTGAAAAATCTACTAATCTACAATTATATTATCGACTAGAAACGTCATATTTCCTAATATGGTTTTGTTATCCTAATATGGTCATCCACATGCCTTATATGGAGAAGACTGTCGAACTCTATTTTCGTATCTCACWCTTGTAATAAAAACTGTTCTCTTTAGCCTCGTCCCCAGGCTACTCATTGTTAGCTCTCCCAAATCAAAAAATGGGAGATTGAGACACATGCGTGGCGTCAGGCTGTATAGTAAATACACAAGAGAACGTACCCTCGTCCCCAGGCTACTCTCTTCGCTCTTCAGCATGACGTCACGCATGTGTCTCTCAGTGTCTCAGAAGCGTCCGCCATTTTGGATTTGGAAGAGTTATGCACCAACTGAAGATTAAAACTTAAAATCCAGGACAAATAGATAAGTAGAATCCTAGACTTAGCTTTGTAGTATAGWATGCTGTAAGAAACGTTAAAAACTAAAATTATGGCATAGATACTTTGCAGGAATTCACAGTGAAGGAAGGTTAAGTTGRAGGAGAAAACGCCAAAATGCAGTTATCAAATTTTCAAGAATTTCATTATTTTGTTGCCCAACTTCATCTTTACTAGGAATTTCTGCAAAGAGTTTCTAAAGTTTGTCTAGTCTCTGTGGATTGTTTCTGGTTGCGTATGTTTGCAAGATCAGTGGGAACGCTATCTATTTWTAGTAAAAAGTTCATCTTTGAAGTTAGGATGCAGACTTCCTCGTCTTACGCAGTGGGCTGATTCCAGGCGTGAGCCTACGTGAGCCACCGCCAACAGTTCGTCTAAGAGGAGAGGCTGGAGTGCTTGTCACTCTCATTGGTGGAGAACCCGACTTGGTCCCTCGGGAAGGTGAGGAATAGCTCCCATCGACGATAGAGTCTTCAAGTTTTTGGGACTCTCGGTCGAGGACTTTGGGCTCATAGACTGTGTCTCGTGCTACGATGTTGAGAGAATCTTCAAGCTTACTGCGCAGGTCTTTGATCTCGTCTGATTTCTGTGCGGTGCGGGTCAGATAGGACTGTTTCTTCTGCAGCTCTTTGGACAGCTGATCCTTGAGAGTGGACACCTAGAAGACAAGAGAAACCTCGTAAGAAAATCTTTTCACCCAAAAGACAAAACAAGAATATCAACAAAACATTAGGTTAAAGGGCTATTTGGATGAAAATCCGTCAAAATTGGAAACTGATTATTCCTATTTGAAGTGATTTAACGATGAATATAGTTGACTTTCAAGAACTACTCGACCAAAAATTCTGCATTTTAAGCACATTGTCACCAAGGAATTTTGGTTCAAAAACTAAAAGAACAACAGGGTTGAGTAAAGGACGTCATTTACTCACAATTTGGATGCTACAATAATTGATAAATTTTCATATCGGTCGCTATAAGTTTAACCAAGTTTCAAGTCATTTCAATTTTCATCCAAGCGCCCCTTTAACTAGCCTGGTAACAGAAACCCTTTTTCGTCTTTCTATTTTCGTTTAATTTAAGCTTATGTTGTTATCGATCGTTACGAAAGATTTAACAAACCTCTGCCTGCACTCGGCGTTTTTTCGTTTCGTTAACGTCCTCAAGAACAATCTTTGAAAATAGCTTATGTTAAGTTAAATTTACCTGTTCTTCCAATCCTTTGATTCTCTGCTTATGAGCTCGTTCTCTAGCAATCTGTGTCTTTTCCAACTGACCCTGAGAAAGTCGCGATCTCTCAGACTCCATTTCCATTTCCTGACGATGTCGTGACGTCAATTCCACCAGCTTACGCGCATGCTCCTGCTCTACTTCCGCTAGCTGCTGATTGGCTGTTTGCAACTGTCTCTGAAGCTCATTGTTGTCTTGTTCAAAGGAAGCTGCTGAGCGGTCGAGGCGTTCGCGTTCGTCACGGAGTCTGGATGTCATCTCGTCGCTCTCCAACTTCTCGCGTTCGATCTAAAGGTACGAAACAGGACCGAAACAAGACATTGAGTAATCAGGGGATCTATGCGCAGTCAAGGGACAGAATGATAAAGGTATAGAAATTATTGGACCAATAGGGGAAGCAGATATATTCAAGTCAAAGCGTTAACAAGCGGACAGACAGATGCATACGACAGACAGCCAGGTAGAAAGACAGACAGACATCCAGTGCCAACACATACCTTATCAACAGTATTCCTAAGAGCCTTTTTATCCTTTTCCAGACGGACATGTGCTCGTTCCAATTCTCTTTTCTCCTGTTCAGCCGCAGCTAGACCGTGTTGAAACTTGGCCAAACGATCCTGCAGTTCGCGCTTCTCCTCTTGTAACTTCCCTATCCTCGCTACCAGTTCCTCCTCGGCTTCTTTCTGCTGACGTAGCATTTGTTGCAGCTGACGGATGGAGCCTTCGAGTTCCATTCTTCTCACCTACAGGATACAACRAAGGCAAGGGTGTTAGGTGCGTTCATTTATGCGTTCGTCTCACTTCGATGCAAAGGCGCTGCTACCTTTCAAGATGGCGCAGGGAACTGGAACTATTTCTTAATTCCAATTTAATTATGGATGAGAGCCATAGGGTTAATTCTCCTTTTAGCTAGTGGCTATTAAGCGCTACCCTCGTAAAACAAGGACGATTTTATCTTATATTTCAAGCCCTTACCTCAGAGTCAGCTTGATCATTCTTCATCTGTTGAATACGATCTTGCATGGCATTGTTTCTGGACTTCGCCTCTTGTTGGGCGCCCTTCAGCGCTTCAAGCCTCTCCTGCATCACACACCTGTCATGTTCACTGCTCGTCAACGCACGCTGCAACTGCTGCAGCTTCTCTTGTAGAGTCTGCGAGTTGTTGTTACTGTCGTTCAAAGACATGGACAGCTCAGTCACCTTCTCTCTGAATGCCTGCTCTTCTTCTTCAGTCTTGGCGAGAGCCAGAGTCAAACGGTCTACRGTCAATTGTAATGAGGTTGCGCGTGACTCAAGTTCTTGCTGTGCTTTCAGCATCTGGTCTAAGCGTTCACGGAGAGCCTGCTTTTCAGCTTCTTGTTCTGCGTTTTGCATTCGAAGCCTCTCAATATCACCTGAAAAATTCAATTCAGTAATATGAGATTTTGTTTTTTTATATATTAGTTCTACAGTCAACTCTCGCCTTGCGGACAACTCGATATTACGGACACCTTGCTATTACGGACAGGAGAAAAATCCCCGACAAAGAAATGACCGTAAAAAAGTTTCGCTATTGAGGATGCTCGCTATTACGGACATGAAGTGACGGTCCCGAGGGTGTCCGCTGTAACGAGAGTTGACTGTATTGGTCTTCTCATTCATGGTTACGACTCGGAAAAGAGCGAACCAGTTTTCTCAGTTAAATTAAAATATTGGTCCACAAACAATTACACAGTATCTGTTTTAAAAAAGTACTACAAAGGATTATCGTCCATCATCAGTTTAATGACGCTGGATATCGTCCGAAATATCTACTCAAGAAACTTCTAGTTATTCTYTTCGTTTATAAACTTTTAGTCCAAAGAAATATATTCACATACTTTTATTTTGTTATTCTATCTAATTGATTGAGCTTGTAGGACAGAAACGGTATCTAAATGGCGTCGGAACTATGAATTGGACTAGTGATTGTTATACGCAGAAGCCTTACTAATGATTAACTTATTCACTTCATACCTTCGATAGATCTCTTCTTGAGTTCAATCTTCGTCAAGCGAGATTCAGAGTTTTCGATCTGAGCCCTCATAGCCTCTTTCTCCTGGTCACTCCTAGCCTCGCTCTGCTGTAAGCCAGCAATCTTGTCCCTCAGTTGGCGTCTGTCAGCTTCAGCTTGAGCCAAGCTCGAGTCAAGAGCAGTTATYTTTTCATTCAGTCCTTTACGCTCTCGTTCCAGTCGCCTGATCGTCTCTTCCTGTAACATGAGAGCAGTCTGGGCACTACTCAAGCGGCCGTCGGCACCGCGTCGGTTTTCTTCGGCTTCTCCGAGTGATTTTTGGATCGTTTGCATTCTTTGGTCCGTGCGGGCGCGTTCTTCTTCCATCTCGCCTATTGCCTTCTGCRAAGCAGCTGCCCTGGTAACAGCCTCGTCGCGTTCTCTCTCGGTCTCCTTCATGTTCTGCGCGAAGTCCCGCAGAGCGACGCGAACCGTCTCGGGATCTATTTCACCAGACATGGACATGTCGCCAGTCCTGGATGGCGAAAGCTGACGAATGGGGGAGACAGATCGGCGTCCACCAGCGTCAGTATCGTCCAGGGTCTTCTCGGGTGATTTTGACCGGCTGCGGCCGAAGCCGGTACGGCGCCTGGGGCTGGGACTGCGTGTTCTAGATGGTGATGGCGATCTACATTTWAAAAAAAAWTTTTGTGCTGTAAGTATTTTGAAAAATAAGGCACTCTCGTCTCATATCTGCGAGCTGAATTTTAAGATCTTAGCACAGTTTTAGTATTTTCAACTTCCTCGCCATGAGAAAATTTCCTCCTTCCGTAAAAGCCAATAAAAGTGCTGCGAGAGTCGTACACATAAACTTTTGAATGTCGTTGTAGTAAGTGTGAGAGTTGTATATTCTCAATAAGTAAGAATGCGCCAAATCTTCAAATCACTAACACAAGTGATCCTACCTTCCATTCTCTCCTGGTGGTCTGATACCCAGCGTCCTCCTAAGAGTAGAGTGCAGACTCGCCAGTTTGAATTCCAAATCATTCTTAACACCTTCCATACGAGAGAGTTGTGACTCCAACCCAGTAATCCTGCCCTCAGAACCACTCAACTTGAGCTTCAAATCACTATTATCCTGGTTACAGTTTTCTATAACATTCTCTAGATTCTTGACTTTCTCTAAGTTCTTCTGCTCACCACGTCTCGACTCTTCCAGAGCTGAGGTGAGGTCTTTTTCTCTTACGCGGTTGTCTTCTTCATACTCGGCCATCTTGCGRTTCAATGTCTGGATCTCGCGTTTGGCGGCTTCTTTTTGTCCGTCGGTCTCGACGAGTTTTTGCTTGAGGTTGTAGTTATCGCGTCTCATCTCGTTCAACAAGTGTTCATCCTTGGCGAGCTGGTCTTTCAAGTCTGATATTTCTTTCTTACATTTTAAGCATTCACTATCGAGCATTTTGACCTGAAGTTAAAGAAAATGAAAAGAAATTAGTTGCAAAAAACAAAACAAAAACAAACAAAAAAACAGTGGATTTTTTTAAAATAGAATAGAATGACTCTTAAATGAGTTGTTTATCTTTAATATTCAGAGAAAGAGAAAAGGTATCTCGTCCAATCAGAATTCTTTAAGTTTTCATAGTCACTGTCAAATGGCTTTTGTTTTGGACCAATCACAGGACAAACGAACGTGTCCCATCCAATCAGAATACTCGCACGAGGAAGTMATTTCAGAGTAACTTTGAAAGGGCTTCCTGTTTGAACCAATCAGAGAACGAAAAAAATGATAATACGACAGCAAGGTATCGCAGTGAAAAAGCAAGTCTTTTAACTAACCTGGTTGTGTAACTGTTGTAGTTCTCTTCTGGCCTCGAGTCTTGCCTTCTCAACTTCYCTCAGGCTTCCTCTAAGGTCGTTCACTTCCTTCTGAAGTCCGCTCTTGTTTTCTTCAAGGGAAGCGATTTTCTGGGTAGATTCGTCGAGGACACGTCTGAGGTTGGTCTTCTCGGACTCTGCCTTCTTGACCTGGGAAAACAAACACAAAAATATAGTACATCATTTCAACGATAAAGCAAAGCAAGGGTTAGCCTCATTTCAGCMTCAATTTATYGWAAAATACCAACGGCAAAGCAAAACATGCACRACTTCAACAAYACAAAMACTTTGAAACTCCATGGACMTACACTGGAATGCATGAAYATTCTACACAAAGTAAAGRCTTAAACTAAGCRAAAGAAAATTGGCGAAACTGGAGTGTTTRACTTGACGTGCGAGTCACAGGGTCAAGATTWGAGAATTCTGCAWTTCAGARGARTRAAAYTATTTTCGTAGTAAGTTGTCTAAARTYGTAGTYGAGTCAAACGTAGTTACCTTTCCTCTCAGTTCATTCGCTGTCTGYTGAACAGCCTCCTTCTCTCTTTCTTCATCCTTCAGCTGTCGTTTCAAGTCAATGTTTTCTTTTCTGGAGACCTCTCTCGCCTCTTCACCRTCGCGAATCTTACGATGAGCGTCAATCAGTTCTCTCCTAACACCATCRCGCGCTTCCTCAGCCATCTTGAGTTGAAGTTTCAGTTCGCCGATTTCGCGGAGCGAGTTCTCTTTRGCTTTGGTTARGTCTTTGATCTGGTTCTTAAGGTCTRCTACTTCAGCTTGGTATCGTTTGCTGCGATGAGAAATGATCATCGAGGTAAATAACGTGGAAAAAATTGTCATAATTTTAATATCATGCAAARCTTTGCATGGCTAAAACACTTGCGACGTTGCCGTGCCGTGTCGTGGCCCAATTTGATTGGTCTAGTCACATGATCATATTCTCCATTGTGCTTTGATTTTGTATACTTAATGTCACACGGAGTCTCCTAAGTAACAAAACTCGTATGGGCAGCAAACAAGGTGTCACGACCCGCTTCAAATGGCTTCCACATAGCACCAATCAGAAAGCTCGAAAAACCTACTACAGCCAATCAAAATGCTTCAAAAAGAAACCCCTTCAGAGTCACATTTCTATACATTTTTCTTTTTGTTACTTACTTCATATCCTCAAGCTTCGAACGCGTGTTTCTAAGCTCATCCTGAGTCCGTGTTATGGCAGATTTGTCTTGYTCAGCACGGCTGAATGCTTCGCGTTTAATGCGATCAATCTCAACCCCAGCGTTATCTCTCTCGTTCTGAATCTTTCCAATCTTCTCAACGAGTAAAGCTTTCTCGTTGGCCGCTCTGTGTAGCTCTTCTTGCTTCTCGTTCTCTGCCATAAGAAGTTGGTCGTCTCGTTCTTTTTGGACAAGAGCCACTTCGTTCATGAGCGCGTATTTCTCTTTCTCCATTCTCTTTTGCATCTCATCCTGGAAAATAAAAAACAAAAAAAGTCAGCACTGACATAGATCAATTAGAAATTAATGGAAAACTTAATGTCAACTTCTGAATAGCACCCGCAGAATCGTACAATTTGATTCGTAAAACCAGTGTTTACGTGACATTGGCGTAAAATACGACGTTTTCAAGGGCACGTGCCTATGGAATGTCATGGAAACGCATTGATTGACATCCACCAAAACCTACATACTTCGTCGCGACGAAGATTCTTCGAGSACGACTATAAATGTAACTTCTAGATTCCATAAAAAAGTAACAAAAAAGTATGAGAGATTTGTACCTTCTCGTTCTTCAAGATGTTGATAGCTTCCTCCTTCTCCTGGTTAGCCTGCAGAAGAGCGCTTTCCTTTTCTCTYTTCAATCTATCACTTTCTTCCTCGTGTTTCTGTTCAAGTCTCTTGACAGCTACTTCTCCATCACGCTGCGTCTGGTTCAACTTYTGCTCTAGGAGTTCTTTATCCTTTTGAAGCTTCGCTTCCTCGATCTCTTTTTCCTTTCTCACTCGCTGCAGATCGACAGTTAGCGCTTCTTTAGCGAGAAGAAGATCTTGGTTCTCAGCTTCTAAAGCTTCTTTGCGGGATTCCAACTTSGTGGCGGTTTGCTGGAGTTCATAGAGAGCGTTTTCKAGAGATTCCTTCTCRCTCTTCAGGCTGGCATTGCTCTCAGCAAGCGCRCGGTTATCTCGCTCAGCAGCATTGACAGCGACTGACAGACTTGACTTCTCTCTTGTGAGYTCTTCCTTCTCTTTAGCCAGACGAACAACATTAGTGCTCTGTCGTTCAACTTCTCGTCTCGTCTGTATCAGCTCATCGTGCAAGTTATCTCTCTCGCGTGAGACTTGATTCAAGGCATCGCCAAGCTCCGCTCTCTCTCGGTTCGAGGTGATAAGCTCTTGTTCAAGCTTCTCGCGACCACTTTCTTGGAGGCTTAGGTTTTGGTCAAGCGTGCTTTTTTCCGTATCCAGTTCGACTTTTTCTTGCTCTACACGGATCAGCTCCTGTCGGATGCTGTGTTTTTCTGCTTCAATGTCTCGCTTCTCTTGTGAGATGGCGTTTTTATCAGACTCCATCTGCTTGATAATCTTGTTGAGTTCAAGYTTGTCTTGACCAAGTCCTTCGTTGAGGGAYTGAAGCTTGACCAGAGCATCTCGAAGAGCAATCTCCTCTGATTTCATCTTACCTACAAAATGTTAGAGAGGGTTCTAAGCTTTTGGCTACAAGGATATTTAACAGACATCAATGTTATCAGAAACTGAAACAACTAAAGCACCTACAACTCACAGATCAAACCCTGGAGTAACGTCTGGGCTGATCTAACTCAGGGCACGGCTAACTCACAGATTGAACCCTGAAACAACCTCTGGGCTGATCTAAGTCAGGGCATTATTTTCTTACCTATTTCGAGCTCAAGTTCAGCTCGTTGTACTTCTGACTTGGACAGTACATCAGCCAAGTGTCCCTTCTCTTGGTCAAGGACTTCCTTGTCAAGGAGAGCACGGGAGAGCTGTTCCTTCAGGTTTACAATCTCTTCCTTCAAAGATGACTGTTTGTTTTCGAGCTGCTCCATGACCTTAAAAATAAAGAACAATATATCTTATATTAACTCTGTTTCTTCAGGCTCATCAACCGTAATGTGAAGAAGAGATAACTAGCTAAAAACTAGTATGAGCTGCGTCGGTGTTTCTAATGTAACAGTAATGATAAAAGGGTAAATTTTACACCGTGAAAAGATGAAAAAATCTGTAATGTGGCAAGGTTTAGCTATTCCACCGAGTTCGGTCAAGAATGCGATTCAAAAATTCGAGTTTGTTTGAGGCGTTTCTCTCTTCCTTGCCACGAGGGTTTTTCTCCAGGTTTTTCAGTTTTCCTCCCTCCGTAAAAATCAACGAATTGAAATTTGTATGCATAGAATACTGTGCTTGTTTCTCTCTTCCTTGCCACGAGACTTTTCTTCCAGGTTTTTCTAGTTTTCCTTCTTCCGTAAAAATCTCATCAACGTTTGAGCTTAGAGTTTCGCAAAGAATATTGGATGAAGTGGTAGTGTGTGTGAGCGAAAGGAAGACAAATTAGACGTATGAGCTCAGAGCTTCGCAAAGAATATTGAATGAAGTGGTAGTGTGTGTGAGCGAAAGTGAGACAAATTTGAATTATCGTTTTATCATTTTCATAACGAAGAGCATTCACTGGATTCATTTTTCCATTTTCCATCGATGTAGTTGTGTTTTCTTCCTTCATTTTCTTACCTGTTGACTTCTTGCCACTTCTTTCGAAAGTCTTTCCTTTTCTCTTTCCAAATCTTCCTTATCGTCTTCAAGGTTATCTCTTTGTCTTTGCAGCTCGTTGTTCGCAGCCTGGAGCTTTTCATTTTCCACAGTCATGCCTTCAATCTGTTCAGTCATCGATAAGCGAAACTTCTCAAGATTTTGCTTCTCAGTTGAGAGGACGTCTGAGTTTGCCTTGAATCTTTCTCGATCTTGTGCTGCTTCGCCAAGCTTCTGTTTACTATTAAGGAAAGAAATGTTTTAATATAGCTTTAATCAGAAGGTCCAAATTCACGGAATATTCTACTCCTACCCTTGGACATGTGCTCCAATTAATGTTACCCTCCCATACCTTAAGCATTCTACCTCTACCCTTGAATCATGTGTTCCAATTGATGTACCCTC